ATGTATAAAGATCACGCGCAAAGAAACACAAAAAAAAAGAAGAAATAACCCTCCTATTTTTTTACTCATTCTTTCTCTTTATCTCGACTTTTTTTTTTCTTTCCTCGTGGTATAAATATAAATGTTTCCTGTCACTTTTCTTCAGTTAGTTGGCCGATTTGTTTTGCAGCAGCAGTGACTGTTCGTTACGAATCGTATTGAAAAAAATCATTATCGCTCCTTCCAAATATTATTTTTACATATTTAAATAAAAAAATAATAATTATTTTCAATCATGTCGATGGACAAAAAAAATGAAACTCAACAACAAGGTTTAATTGCAACAAATCAACCAAGTGAAAATCTGGTTCGATTGTATGTATTTTATTTTGAGAATTTTTTCTTGTTCTATTAGAAATATACTTATCTTTTAGTAATTATCATGAAGATAACGAAGGTTTGATCAATCGTCAGATCAATTTGGAATTATATGCTAGCTATTTTTATATGGCTATGGCACATCATTTTGATCGTGCCGATGTTGCTTTAAAAGGTACGATGAAATAAATCATTTTTGAAAAGATGTTTTTTTTTTTTATTATTTAGGACATCATGAATATTTTAAAAAAATGTCGAAAGAAGAAAATGAACATGCAAATAAGTTTATGGAATATCAAAACAAACGTGGTGGTACTATTGTACTTTTGGATATCAAGGTTTGATTACTGTCTTATATTTTTCTTTTGTTATTAATAATAAACGCAATTTTCTTTCTAAATTTAGAAACCACAACAACAAAGCTGGAGTTCACCTTTGGAAGCTCACGAAATGGCATTACAATTAGAAAAGGATGTTTATCAAGCATTGCTTGAATTACATGCTTCTGCTACCAAGCATAGGTATGACAATGAATTAATTTTTAATGATAATCATATAATATTTGTTTTTATTCTAGTGATCCACATCTTACGGATTATCTTGAAGCAGAATTTCTTGATGAACAAGTAATGCAATGCTTCTTTTTTTTTTGTATTGAAATTTTTTATATTCTTTTCATTCTGTTTAGGTTGAATCAATTAAACAATATGCCGATTATATTACCAACTTACGACGTGTCGGTACTGGTCTTGGTGAATATATCTTTGATAAAGAAGAACTTCAAGATTAAATATTCAATATTAAATAACTATAAGAACATTTTTTTCCTACATTTTTATTCCATAAAAAAAAATGAGAAAACAATCAAAACTTATTTTTCATCCACTCATATCATCTTTTCAATCATTGTTACATTCATTTCGGTTAATCGTATCTATTCATTTTGCTTCGTATCATTGTGATTCTATATTCATATATCAATAAAAAAAGCATTTTTTTCAACATCGATATAAAATACCTCTTTTTCTTTATGGTTGATTGCACATAAAAATATATATGAATCGTAATGCACAGGTGACTTATTTCGTCGTTGATTAAGCCGCATAAAAAAAAATGAATAGTTTCAACCAACAATGTTTCGAATATACTTGAATAAGATTAGTGTGTTAGCTTTCTTTTATGCATTTGATCTTCTCTCGATTGTTCAGCTGAGCATACGATATAATTTTTGTGCTAGAATTTAGATTAGCTTTTACAAAAGAGTAAGTAATCGATCATTATTCTGATTGGTAGAAGTACTCTTCACACAGATTTGTTAAGTAGATTGAAATCCAAAACTATTTCTATTTTCGTGCATTATCGTATTTGTATTGATGAGAGATAGAACTGATTTGGATATTTTTATGACCAGAACCAGTACTGGTTGCATGTCTGGTTTGGTGAAACTCATGAATAATACAGAAGAAGGCTCTAAAAGCAAGAGCAATCGTGTCGAACTTGAAAATTAAATTCAGCTATTGTATTATAGTCCAAGTAATCAACTTCTTAATGTTGTTTCTTGAGTGATTTAAGATTTCATGGTATCTTGGATATGTATTTATGGTATACTTAAACAAAATTGTAGTTTGAATAAACAAGCCTTTTTTTTTTATAAACTCCAAAGGTCTGAATTAAGTAAAGTTTTGTTTTGAACAATTTCTATTAGTATTTCTAATGCGTAAGTAGCACTGAGCTTGTAATCCAAGACTAAATATCTAGCAGAGTCCGTAAATTGAGTAACTGAAATTAAAATAGATCGAACATTATCTTATCTGGATGGGTACACTGATTGATGAGCTTCCTGTCACGTGAGATTAATATAAGGAAAAAAAATTTAAAAAAACACAAGAAAATAGCTTTATTTGATAAATCCACATTCACATAAAATACTGAACATGGCTCTTGCTCAGAGTGTAAGTGAATAGAAGATTTACGCTCATACTCACACCTCTAGCAAGAGCTCTGTTCAATTTTTGATGTGAATGTGAATTTATTCGAATTCACCTCTTTTCTTGTATTTCTTTAATCTTTCCTTATACCAGGCTTACATGTCGAAATACTCATCCGTTGTGCTACTGACTGAATGAAATATCCATGCACGAAGTTGTCAAAAATTGTACTTTGGTCCAATATTTAAAATAAAATATCAACCTATCGGTGACCAGAACACATGATCAAGAAAATCGCGAAGATCGTGATAAGAAGAGTACGGTGCATATTTTTTTCTAAAAAAATAAAATTCTAACTTTATTAAATGCACCAGCGTTCATTGACTCAATATATTCTTATTTAATATTAAATACCGATACATTGATTTCAGTAATGTCAATCTAAAACTTGTTGTAAAGAATATGAGTTGGGTAGGAAAGTAGATGAGAACTATCAATCGAAAGGATTTGCTACATTTATCGAGATGATTTTTTCTATGTAAGAAAAAGAAACATGAGAAGCATATTTCATGTATCTCAGGTAAAAAGTAAACCAGTCAATAGTACATCAATGTGAATGAATTTTGATCAACAAGAAATGTTTTTTTCCATTAAAAAGGCACTTATAGAACACAAAGCTGATCAACAATGTCGCTGTACATTGGACATCATTTCAAAGGTTATTTTCATTATGAAATCTAGTAGGCATAAAGTGTTCTCTATCTTCCTTATCCTTGTTAACAAAAACCAGTACATTATTCTACGTAAACATTGTTGGAAGGATCAATGTTTCCACGTTTTCTTTAAAAAAAAAGAAAAACTCATGTACTCTGTTTTGCAGGACTCATCTAGAAAAATACTTTATGAACGTAAGTTAATGCTAGAGGAAGATTGATATTTGTGTTATCTTTGAAGTGCAATATTAAATTATAGTTTTATTAACTGTACAAAACAAATCAGTTAAATCAGCTCAATTCCTTCGGAAATAAATATAGAAAAGTAAGCAAACGAGACACAGTACTGTAGATTCTCATCCAGTAATATATACTTTATCTATAATTGTTACGATATCATTGTCTATTGAATTTCATCGAAATTCAACATAGTGAGTACTTTAAAAAAATGTTGAAATCGTCGATTGTAATCTAGCGGTATTCATTGACAGCTATCTTCGAAAATATAGATAAGTGAGTTATTTATATGTAAAAGATGAAGACAACAAAGAATAAATTAAAGAAAAAGAAAGATTTTATTCTTTAAGCCAAAAATCCTATAATTTATAATGCAACAACAAAATTTGTTCATTAGTGTGCTTCTCTGTCATCAACAACACTCAGACATTTGAATATATAATTCAGCTCATTCTTTAAAGAGATACAATTTTTGTAGAGAGAAAATTAATGAGCGTAATAAATAGAGATTTTGCAAGCGAATTTTGCTATGATGCACTTAGTTTCAATAAACACTCAGCTATTCATATGTTGTCAATCTCTCTAAGTGAGTAGCTATTTAATTTCAATCACTATTTACGAAAATTTTAATACACTTTTCATTGTTCTGTACTTATTTCAAAACCAAATTAGTTTAATTAACAATATCATTAAATACAGTGTCCTCCTTTGACTTTTAAGGATTTCTGAATACAATTAAGCAATTCCAAGTAAATGAACTTGGCATAGTTTCTTATCAAGAATTTACAGGAGCATTTTCACCGGTTTTAAATTCAGGTTTTTGCCTCCTATTGAAGCATATTTAATATAGTCTTCACTTTTTTTTCGTTACTAACTTGGATGTACGTTACGGAACAAGATTCTGTAGAAACATCTACGGCGTTTGTTTTTGAAACTCAAGCAATAGAACTTTTCAATTCATGTAGACTTTTCTTTCATGCATTACAATAGAAAAATGTTGTTTAGACCTTGATGTACTTCATCACTGAAATCTGAAAATTAATTTCGTAAAGAATTCATAATGATAATATCTAATACAGATAACATGTTTGTGATTTTAAATTATTTAATCAATGAAACGAAAATAGACTTTGTGTGTTGAGAAAAAAATTTTAAGAATACGATTTTCGTTGTTTACATTTTTCAGACACAAAATTCGACACCTATCAATGCATATCCCATTCGTTTTTGTAGGATATAAGGTACCTGATTAGCTTATATTAAAAGAAGTATCGATTTGTTTTGATGTACCATTGAGGCACAGGAGAATACGTGCACCAATATCTTATCGTGTTTTTTAATCATCACTCTTATTATGCTTTTCTTAACATTCTCAAACTATTGTCTTTCTTTTCCGACAGATGTGTGTTTGCTCTACATTTCTTTTCTTAAATGTTAGAATCGATATGAAATAGAAGTGGTTCGCTCTGTTTTTCTTACTTTTTGATAACCCCTATGCCCGACAAAGCACTTATATAAGCCATGCTCGAAGAAAAAGAAATTTCTCTCGTACGTTTTACTGTTCTCTTTCTTTCTCTCATTCTTTTCTTCGCTCATTGTTTGAATCTGATTGTTTCTTATCACTTCTCTTTAGTTAGAAGGTCGATTTGTTTTGCAGCAGCACTGACTGTTCGTTACGAATCGTATTTAAAAAATCATCATCGCCTCTTCTAAATAGGTTTTTTCTTACATATTTCAACAGAAAATAAAATAGTTATTTTCAATTATGTCGATGGACAAAAAAAATGAAACACAACAACAACAAAGTTTCGTTGCAACAAATCAACCACGAGAAAATTTAGTTCGATTGTATGTATTTTATTTTGAGAATGTTTTCTTATTCTATTAAAATTATACTTATCTTTTAGTAATTATCATGAAGATAACGAAGGTTTGATCAATCGTCAGATCAATTTGGAATTATATGCTAGCTATGTTTATATGGCTATGGCACATCATTTTGATCGTACGAATGTTGCTCTAAAAGGTATGTCAAAAAAAAACAGGAATCTTATTTGAAAAAAAATTTGTTATTTAGGGCATCAGAAGTTTTTTGAAAAAATGTCAAAAGAAGAAAATGAACATGCAAATAAGTTTATGGAATATCAAAACAAACGTGGTGGTACTATTGTACTTTTGGATATCAAGGTTTGATTACTGTCTTATCTTTTTCTTTTGTTATTAATAATAAACGCAGTTTTATTTCTAAATTTAGAAACCACCACAACAAAGCTGGAGTTCATCTTTGGAAGCTCACGAAATGGCATTACAATTAGAAAAGGATGTTTATCAAGCATTGCTTGAATTACATGCTTCTGCTATCAAGCATAAGTATGACAATGAATTAATTTTTAATGATAATTCTATCACTTTCTTGTCTTTGTTCAAGTGACCCACATCTTTCGAATTTTCTCGAAGAAGAATTCCTTGATGAACAAGTAATGCAATGCTTCTTTTTTTTGTTTTGAAATGTTTTATATTCTTTTCATTCTGTTTAGGTTGAATCAATTCATCAATATGTCACGTATATTACCAACTTACGACGTGTTGGTCCTGGTCTTGGTGAATATATCTTTGATAAAGAAGAACTCCAAGAGTAAACATTTGATATTAAAGAAATAAAAGAACTTTTCTTTTCCTACATGTTTATTGCATAAAAAGAATGAAAAAAAAAACCAAACGCTAGTTTTCATCCACTCACATTATTGTAATACTCGTTTCGATCAATCGAATCTATCCATTTTCATCAGGTCATTGTGATTCTATATTCATACAATAATAAAAGAAAGCAGTTTTTTTTACAACATTGGTATAGAACACCTCTGTTTCTTTATGGTTGATTGCACATAGAAATACGAATGTGTCATAATACTCAAGTGACTTACTTCGCTGTTGATCAAGGTTTATAAAAAAATGAATAGCTGTTGAAGACAATCCATTGAATATACCTGAATCGAATTAAGATGGGGGATAATTAATTATCAGATTGAGATCAAAAAAATAAGCAATGCTTTTCTTTTACACTTTTGAATGTTCTATCAATTGTTCAAATGCATTTAAAATAAACTTTTGATGTTGATTATCTTGTTGTATAAAACTAGTTCTTCTAACGTACATCATTGTATTTATTTTAACTTATTTTCAATTTCTTTTCATTTACCGTAAGCCTAAGGAAGCATCAAAATGATGATTCACATAGAGACAATGGCTTCCAAAACGAACACAAAAAAAATAAAAATTATAATAAGATCTTCAAAGATAGGGACTTCAGGCAATCAAAATTCTAGAGCGAGTAAATATAATTTTGCTTAAAGCACATGGAACAATAATGAAAACAATCCTCTTCACAATGAGAGATCGACGAGTTTTCTGTAACGCCTTTCAGCAAGGTCTATTGATAGTTAATCATTTTTTGCTAATTGTTAATTACCATGTACAATTTTTTAAACTGTTATTGTAATATCTCATTTTCTTTCAACGGGTACTGAAAAAATGATTTTCAATTGATATGCGGATCATTACGATGGATGAGTACTTCATTGTATTATACTAATACTACGCTCAAAGTCGCAGATGAAGGACGATTAGCGATTCATCTAGATATCTTTCAGGCTTCTTATATATTTGCTCAACTTTTCTTGTGCCTGCAAATGTTAATTTTTCGAGAATCATTAGTCGTCCCTTCGTAGGTTAACTGAAAATATATGAAGGATAGAATTTCAAATTTTGAAAATGATATCATGGCGTTTATTTGATTTTCAAAGAAGAGTATTGCCAAGGTCTTTATTGTGCAAGTATACGCGTAAAAAGATCAATATGCTGTTTCACTTAAAACTATTAAATGATTGCAACGTATTTTTGATCAGAGTGTTGAAACCTATCTGGATAAGACTTAGCGTTTAGATTATTGATATTCAACTTCTACTGCCCTCTATTGATCGACTTACCTGCAAACACAATCCATCAACGAATGAAATGTAGGCGTAAACAATGATCCTCTTTTTCAGTGCAATCACAATCTAACGTATTTCCCTGTCAAACGCAGAAAACCATGTATTCCAATCCGATGCAGCAACAACAACAACAACCATCACCAATGCAACGTCCTCCTACAATGATGAATGCTGCTCCTATCCCTCAACCTAATACAGCCGTTGGTGTTCCATCCATGCGTCCTATGGTAGCATCATCACCGATGCAAGCATCAATACTTCAACAACAACAGCAATCACCTCAATCATCTATGATGACTCGACCAGTTGGAAGTCCATATGGAATTAATAATCGTCCAACACTTTATGATAAAAATAAACGTCCAAGTTATCCAGCTGATCTTCGTCCACAACAAATTATTCAACCAGGACAACAACCACAAATGCCATATGGAAATGCTATGGGTCCAAATCAAGTTATGATGCCTAATACTGTTGCAACAGGTGGTACTGGTCCAATTAGACAACAGTAAATAAATTTTAAATCGCTCATTCTATTTATATGAATTTTTATTCTAGAAAAAAAACGTAAACGTTTAACAGAAAAAGTTATTCATAAACAAATACGTTCACTTGTACCGGAATCTCAAGCATATATTGAATTATTACGTCTTGAACAAAAATTAGATAGTGTTTTAATGAGAAAACGACTTGACTTACAAGAAATACTTAAACGACCACAAAAAGTATTCAAAAACACATTAAAAAAAAGCATTAATCTATTCAATTCATCTTATTTTGTTTTTCTAATTGTTATTTAAGATTAAAAAGAAATTACGAATATTTATAAGTCATCAATATCCAGTTCGCTTTGATTCAGATACAATGAGTATTGATGATGAACAAGTTCAATATTGGGAAATGCGAGTTGAAGGTCGCTTACTTGATGATGTGAGTTAAAATATAAAAATGCTAATACAAAAGAAAATACATATTATAGTTATTAATTATCTACTAGCCTAATACAAATAAATATGATCAAGGAAAAACAAAACGTAAATTTTCATCTTTTTTCCGTAGTCTTGTTATTGAATTAGATAAAGATTTATATGGACCAGACAATCATCTTGTTGAGGTTTGTGAAAAAAAAAATTTCTTTTTTTTTGATAAATTTAAATTCCGAAAAAAAAATCAACAAACAATATGAATTTTTAGTGGCATCGAACAAATGCTACAGCTGAAACGGATGGTTTTCAAGTTCGTCGTGCAGGTGATCAAAATGTTAAATGTACAATATTAATGGTTCTTGATCATTCAGTAAGATTATTTAATTCATTTTGTTTAATTATTAAGTTCTTTTTTTGTTTATTCAGCCACCACAATATCGACTTGATGCTCGTCTTGCTCGTTTACTTTCAATAAGTAATGGTACACGTCAAACAATTATTCATGCACTTTGGCAATATATTAAAACACATAAATTACAAGATTCTGAAGAACGAGAATATATTCATTGTGATATACATCTACAATCGGTTTGTTTGATTTTAAATTCGAAGGATATTATCACTAGTCTTAAGAATGATGTTCTTGGTGTAGATCTATAAAAATTTGTTAATTTCAATAATTGAACTTTCCTATATGAAATGAAAGAATAGATTAATTCTTTCAAGAGGAAATTTTTTTGCATGACAGACGCACATTAGAGACCTTTATGAATCATATTAAAATGAGAAATATCATGTAGAAGTTGTTATTAATCACAAGAAAATTGCTGTATTCTATCTATTTTTGAAACTTATCTGTTCACTATCTTTTTATCTAATCTGACTTCAACACTTCATCTAAGTTCATGTTTCACAATAATCTCAAAAACCATTTGCAATGCATAAGTCTATATTGCAATCTGAACCGCCAGCTTTGGCAATTTGTCAGTAGAGGGCCGATCTTTTCTTAGATCCATATTTGTCAAATTACTTGAAATCGTGACTAGTTGGACTTCGTTTGATGGGAAGACTCAAACATATCTTAATTAAGTTTATATTTCGAATTAGAAATTTCATAATATTTTTCATTTAGATATTTGATTGTCCACGAATACGTTTTTCTGATTTACCAAGTAAACTTAATAAACTTATTCTTCCATCAGAACCTATTATTATCAATCATACACTTTGGTAAAATATTTTTTGTTTATAAATTTAAAAAATAAAATTTATCTATTCTCTGTCGTTTTGTAGTCTTGGTACTGATCCAAAAAAACATGCTTGTTATGATATTGATGTTGAAGTTGATGATCCAGTACGAGATTCTACACGGACATTTCTTACACCACAAAATACACATGAATTAGAAGAATTAGATGGAAAAGTAAAAGAATATCAATCAAAAAGAAAAATGTTTTATTTTATTTTATTTTATTTAAGATTCTTCAATATATTGATAGTATAAATCAATTAAAACAAAGTCGTGAATTTTATCTTTCATTTGCTGATGATCCTCAAGGTTTTATATGTAAATGGTTAGCATCACAATCTCGTGATCTTAAAATGATGACTGATTCATCTATTGGAAATAATGAAGAAGAACGAAGAGCTGATTATTATACTGAACAATGGTCATACGAAGCTGTTAGTCGATATTTCTATAATAAAGTTCAACAAAAACGTGCTGAATTAGAACAAGCACTTGGTATTCGTAATCCATAATTTTCAATGAAATAAAATAATCAATGTTTTGTTTCAATTGTTTATATGTATTTGTGTAGTTCAATGAAATATTATTAACAAAAAAAAACAAACATACAAATTCAACTTTTTTTTTTGTTTTGTCTTTCTATTTGTTATAGATGGAATTTTCTACTTATCATCAACCATATTCACATAAAACTCGTTTTAAACTTATTCATTCAACAACAACATTTATTAAAATACCAAAAATAAAAAGAAATTTATCATTAATTAATCGACCTACATCACAATTTAAACTTATTCGTAATGGAATTAAACAAGAATCAAAAGTTAATATTCCAAAACCAACAATTATTAGAGCAAAAAGTATTGATAAATCATCAACAACAATAGCAAAAAGTATAGAAAATAAATACAAATGGATTAGAACGAGTTTGAAAAAAACTGATAGTAACAGGTTAGAAAGAAAGTTTTTACAATGTTGAACAAAAGCAATTGCATTTCATAGTGCTATTATTCTTTATGATATTGAGCCTATATTTTGAGTACATATATGCGACAATAAACCTTAATTGCAAGCACTAAGCCATTCGCTATTAGTTTGCATATACTGGAGTTATGATTCAAATATCATCTTATTTCCACCATTGTTTTGTTAGACATCGAATCGAAAATTTTCGGACTCGACCTGCTCCTGATCAATCTGACGGATTCTAGAAGGCATCCAAAATATCAATTCAATATCGTAAAGAATAGTAGCACTTCATGAGAAGTAGATTTTTTTTGTCAAATAGTAAAATATATCATTTGAAATGAAATTTAGTTTTAAACTTGATCGTCGAAAGATCTTAACATCCAGTGTAATAAATGGACGTATAACAAAACGTAAACCTCGTGCGTCATTATCAAAATGTCTGGTACGTATTCGTGGTATTAAATTTCATACGCATCCAAATGGCAAATGTCTTCAACGTTTAAGTAATATTTTAATCTCATCGCAAAAGTTTCTTATTGTTTATTAATTTTTTTTAAGCTTCGGATTCTGACAACAACAAAATTCTATCATCATCGATTCCCATAAAAAAAGTTGAACATCCAACTATAGCACGAGCCAAGTATTTGTTTTTGTTTTCATTACTTCTAAATTTTAATTAATTATATATATTTTTTTAATATTTAGTATTCTTCTACAACGAAGTATTCAAATAAGTAATGGACGTTATCGTTTAAGAAATGCAAAGAAAAAAATAACAACAATGAAAAAGAAAAAAAATTGTATTTATTTTAATCGATTTGGTAAATGCCATCGTGATGATAAATGTCCATTTATTCATGATCGTACACGAATTGCTGTTTGTACACAGTATGTTAATTAAATATTTTAATCAAATTTATCATTTTCTTTTGTTGTTTTTGTTCAAAGATTTTTAAATGGACGTTGTAAAAATTTTTCATGTCCTTATGCACATGAATTATCACCTGGCAAGGTACCAACATGTTCATATTTTATAAAAGGTGCTTGTGGTCAAGATAATTGTCCATATGCACATTCATACGTTGGACATGATGCTCAAATATGTGAAGATTTTGTTCAAGGATTTTGTGCAAAAGGAATTGAGGTGTGTATAAGGAAAATGTTTATTGTTGTTTTTGTTTTTATATATTTGAATTTCAAAAAAAATAACTCAGTGTTCAAAACAACATGTTCTACTATGTCCTCATTTTGAATCAACGGGTCAATGTCCTCGCGGTAAACAATGTCATTTAACTCATCGACGTAAACGAAATGAAAATAATATTTTGAAAATCAAATCAAATTCTTCTAAGTGGGATCTTTCTCTTACGGTTGGCATCTAAAATTGTTTTTTTCTTGTTCTTTCAATATTAGAACGGATCAACAACCAACTGTTCTTCCGAGTGTAATGCCAGCTTATATCCCATTGAATCAAGGTGCCTGCGAAAAAAAAAAGAAAAAATAAATAATTCGATTAAAATTTTTATTTCTTTAGAAAGTGGAAAAAAATCACCACAAACTGAACTAAAATTAAAACCTAGCTTTTTATCTTAGCATTCATACAAGTAAGTACTTATGTTGTTTCTTTTTCATTGCAATGGTATACAATAAACAAATGATGTCAAGAAAACAATATTGTCTTTCGGTTATACATTTATGTTGAATTTCATCGAGGACTTATTATTTTATTATAGATATTAGCTACATTCATGTTGTGATTCATTTTTCTTTTCTTTTTTTTTTTTGGTTTTGGTTTTGTTTTTCTTTGTCTATTAAAATAAATAAATCATTTCGGTTTTTTTTCTTGAATTACATGAAATCTGCTTACTTTTGATCAAGATTATGAGTAAATTCGAATGAACCAAAAATTTTTATCATCAAGTACTCAATAATTCAACAGTTCATTGAATAAAAAATCATCACCATATTGCATTTTCTTGATATGATAAAAGAAGAGAACTTTGCAAACAAGAAAATGATTAGGATCATATAAATAAAGCTGACATTTATCACAGGACAACTACTTAGAACCATCGAACTTTAACGAGAATGTATTAGGCTTTCAAACGAAAGATCGTCTACCTTCAATCATTCTTACATTAATCGCTTTCAGAATAACTTTGGTATCATATATCATCAATTTGATCATTATGATCTTGTATTAGAACATTACAACCGATTGTTCAAAATGAGACTAGCATAGTGTCACTTCCTTTTCATGGTATATGAAGACACAGACAAAGGTGTGGATTTGTGGTGTGGATACACATTTTGTTCCTCTTTTCACGCATATGGACACCCACACTCTTCTCCACTTCCAAAATGTAACTAACAGTGAAAAAAGTCTGACATTTTACATTAGAAGAAAGACTTTACGGCTGTTCTTATAAGATGACAGCCAGTTCAATGAAAGATTTTTTCTTTACCTGGGTTTTAGAGATAAGAACAAAAGAAAGCAGCCATGTTTGAAAAAGATTCTCACTCTTGTTTCTTAGTTAAAAGAAAAATGTAATAAAGAACATGAATTACATATGTTGTTGATAAGAACCTTATTTTTTTACAACAAAAGAAAAGATAGATTTGTTAACACTCTTTTGACAGGACTTCGGAGAAAAAAAAGACTCTTGTAAGAGATATAATGACTTCAAAGCATAGTAAAGAACAAGACCAATATCAGCTGCAGTGTATTTCCGATGTGCAATTCGAATCTGGTAAACTACTTCTTCCAATTGAAGGCTATGAAAAGATGAAACTCGTCTCCTTACAAGAAGCCATTGTTCCTCTATACGGCATCGTACCTGACATTCACCATAAGGCCTATATTGCTCTGCAACGTTGTCAAGAACCAAAAGATGGTCTATCGTCAGATGAATCAGCTAGTATATTCTTGTACACGATGCGGTGGACACCCAACTATGTCTACCATCTTCTAAATGAGACACTACGTACAGAACAACGTGAATTGCTTCGTCCATGGTTCCTCTTCCTAAAGCTCATCTTAACTGCTCTCTGGAAGTTGCCTTCTATCACTGGTGTCACTCTATTTCGTGGTGTAAAACTTGATCTAAGTCAACAATATACTAAAGGAAGAATGTAGCCGTGGTGGGAGTTTAGTTCGACTACAACATCGGTCGAGGTTCTACAATCACCGCAGTTTCTTGGAAAATCTGGTGTTCGTACATTGCTCACTATTGATTGCTGTTTATATGGTAAAAGCATCAGAAATGATTCGTACTATGCTCTTGAAGACGAAGTATTACTTTTACCAGCTAGACAGTTCGAGGTGACGGGCATATTAGATTTAGGCAATGATCTTCATGTAATAACTTTGAAAGAGGTTCAGCCACCAATTTCTCTTCTGGAACCGCTTTTTATTTCAACAGAATCAGCTTGTACGAAGAAACCGACCACTAATCCAGCAGTAGAACAAGAACAGAAACCTAAGAGCTTATTGGTTCAGTTGAGACAACTCTTCATAAGCGCTCCAAATGATAACGAGATTAATGTCGAAACTAAAAAAGTCTATGATCTAATGGCTCAATGCAAAACAGCAACTAAATGGAATTTGAAACATCAGCAATTAATTGACGCTGATATGAAAATTCTTGCAAATGAGTTAAAAACAAATACAAATTGCAAAGAACTCATTCTTCAGCGTAATGAAATCACTTCAAAAGGTGCTCAATACTTAGCTGAAATGTTAAAAGTAAATTGTACGTTGCAATTAATTTGGCTTGGCTGGAATGAAATTGGGGATAAAGGAGTACGATCATTATGTGAAGGACTGCAAAACAACAGAAAAAATGCTCTCCAGGAATTAGGTCTTGGTTGTAATAAAATTACAGACAAAAGCGTCAATATACTCTTAGAGATGGTTAAAGTAAACTCAACATTGACACACATGACTCTGGGAGGTAATTCAATATCAGAAGAAAATCAAAAGATAATACGTAATGCAATGCAACTAAAGCACCTGAAGTAAAAAAAAAACGACTAAGTTTTCTGGCTAGTTAACATTGATCTAATACATATATCAGACTACAACAAACTAGGATGATTTTTGAATAACTTCTGAATGAAAAGGAACTAGTGAGCTGCGGTTTCAACTCTCTCTCGGACAAAAAAAAGTTCCTTTTTCCATTTCATTTTTGAGAGTATGGGTGTGGATGTGGGTAAAGGTTTAGAAAAAAAGGCACCCACACCCACACCCATACCTTCACATACACCCTGATCATACATAAAAATCATAGAAAATAGCATGTTCCGTATGTTCCTACTTGTTGATGAAATTAAAAAATTGGTCTTGGGAATATTAATAGTTTAATATGGTCTACAAACTTTGAAAGTTTCATACAATTGAGAAATACTTGTAGATTTTTTGGTTGAGGCCCATGGAAATACTCTGTTGTTGTTTTCTGATGACTGCAATATTTGCAACTGTTATTATTGCAGTAATTGCAGCCATTATTGGAATGATTAATGCATACTGAAAAGTTCCTAACTTAAAATGAAACTATCGACATTGTATTTAATAATCTATCATTATTACATTATTATGAAAGAATTATTCTTAGTGAATTAATTCAAATGACTGTATAATTTAGCTTTCAAATCTCATCTCATTCAAAGGCTTTGAATTAATCAAAAATACATCCGTACATTGCTGTTTATTAACGAAACTTACTTTCATTAGTTCGCAAATAATCTAAATTTTATCTAAAAATTATTATCTTTAAAAATATCAATCTTTTGTTAACATATAAATGCGACATTTTATTAAAGAATCTGTTTCGATTATTTCTTTAGATATTAATACTGATTCATTGATTATTCATTAGTGACATAACTGAAGGCAACAACTATAACAACGAGCAGTACTAGAAATAACATCAAAATCATCCGCCAGCACTTCAAATCAGTAGAAAATAAAACGCCTTGTTTCAAGTAATCAATTCTATCAATTTTTTCTTAATTTCATAGGCAACAACTTCGACTACATCAATAACTAGAAGTACTTCAAAAATATTGACCAGTACTTCAAGTCAGTATATGAAGATCTAATTTTATTTCAAATAATTATTTATGTCTTATTTGATTTTGTAAAGTAACCACTTCTAGTAGTTCAAGCACTTCAACAATAACCAGAACAACAACCACGGCTTTCGATTCATGTAAGCCATAGTATGCTAATGAAGTATTTGTATAAAATGTAATATTCCACATGAAATTCAAATTTTCCTTGGAACCAAACAGGAGTAGTTGTATCTGCCACTACTAAAATAGAAAAAATTACTGATAATGGTAATGAACAGCTTGAAGGTATTATTTTTGATAACAAGAGGTTGATGTATGTTACTGATCATCATACAAATGAATTACGGACATATCTAACAAGTTCTCTTATTACTACAAATGTTGCTGAACAACGTGGTACTAATCCATATGCACTTAATTGTCTTGATTATTCATTTAGTTTTGATGTTGAAGATAATTTCAGTCTTTATATAGCTGATGAAAATAATGAGAGTTATGAAATGACCTCGAAATTCAACAACTGAAAATATTTTGATTAATACAACAACAAACAGTGAAATATCTGAAGTATAACTTGCACTTAACTCGTCAAATAAAGTTGATCATAGTGATGAAGCTTTAAACAAAGTTTATTTATGGACATTTGGTTCAACAAATCGAACTAAACTTTCGACTACTGTTAGCACTAGCTATTTTTTTCTTAATATACCAAAAGGAATTGCTTTTGTTCCATATAAAATTTGATTGTTGTGGAAAAAATTGATAATTATCGAGTTATTATATATTGTGTCAATTCAGCAGTGAATAATGTCGTAATTGGATTAAATAGGACTCCATTTTGGTGAAAAAAACCCGTAAGAATTGCTGCTGATTCAGATCTTAGTATGCTCTAGGCTTTAGATAGTCAAGCTATAGTTGAATATGCTTTATGACATATTAACTTTAATCTATTTTTTGTCGACGGATAATTACATATTTTTATATTTCGTTTCACATACGTTGTACTTTACATACTCATTTTTTTTTCTTAGTCTCCCATTATCTAAATCAATACCTGATTGCATCATCAGAATATCACGTTCCTTGCATTGACGCAAAACACTTTTTTTGTTTAATCAAAGGGTGAAGATGTAAGTGTGAGGCTATGGCTATGATTAAAATTACATCTTGAAAGACAAAACAAAATTGTAAAGTCTCAAAAAAAAAATCATGCAAAATTTCAAACGAATCTTGCTTCTCCATCAAATTGTTATACAATCATAGAAAACAAATATAACAACACTCAATATTGATAGCAATTAAACTATGAGTATGGGTACAGTCTCAGAATTTTTCGAGTGTTTTGCAGATGTGAATACAAGATCATTAACATGCAGGAATGTTTGTAGCTTTTTCTTCCTGGTTTGGATAAAGATGAAAAGTTTCTTATTAAAGTCAGAACAATAAAGCTATGCCGAACTATTGTACGTTAATTAGTTTCACAAAAATTTAGAAAATAATAATATTGAATGACAAAATTGACCAACAACTTTTTTATCGTACATTTAAACATTATAAAACTTTTATTTCATATTGCATATCAATAGGCAAGAGTATTATTTATTTAATAATAAATAAATATTTTAGTTTTATTGAACTTTTTTTCGTACGAGTAATTGATGTCTGGTTTATTTTTGTATAGGTCATATTTGAATGTAATATATGCTGACCTTCGATATCTCAAAAAACTTTTACTACATTTATTGTTGAACATAAATATATGTATATATCATAGAGTGTTAATTTAACAAATCTAGAAAACAGATCAAATCATTCATTCAAGAAAGCATTGCTTAATAAGACCATTAATATACGCAAGTTCTATGTTGACTGCTAATAATCCATATCAATCTTTTAATTATTAGTCATGTGTGATTCAATATATACTTTTTTTTAATGAAAATCGAATACTCTCATATTAAAATATAGGGTGTCCGAAAAGTCATTAAAGTTAGAAACATTTGAATATCTCGATTACAGCTCGACCAAAGGGACTCATTTTTTTTACCAAGGATAGAGACATGTTCACACTCCAAATCTATATGGACAAAGTTATTGAGAACCTTTGTTAAGTATCACTATTGACCTTAATAAGAAAATTGTACTTTTTCACAGATAGGAAAAAAACAATATTCTTAGCAAAGCTTCTCTCTAACCTTACCCGTATAGATTTGGAGTGTCAACATATCTCTATCTTTGGTAAATAAATTAGCTGGTTTTGCTAGAGCCATGATGGAGATATTCGATTCTCTTTTCGATAAGGTGACTTTTGCACTATCCTGTATATTTTCTTTTTTCTACCTATCAAAAAGTAAAATTTTCTTATTGAGGTCAATAGTGATACTTAACAAAGGTTCTCAATAACTTTGTCCATATGGACTTGGAGTGTGAACACATCTCTATCCTTGATAAAAAAAATGAGCCCCTTTGGTCGAGCCATAATGGAGATATTCAAATTTTTCTAACTTTAGTGACTTTTCGGACACCATACGTCTATGTTGTTTAGAAAATTTTTTATTCTAGCAATCCACTCCTCTTATCTATTTTAAAGATGTATCGAGAAATTCTATCTTTCGTAAGGAATATAAACAATCAATCTTGTGTTTGAGTTTCACATGTGAATAATTCTTGTTTCATTAATCTATATGTGAGGAAAATCAATCTAAAATAGATATGACAGTCTTCGATTTGACTTTAATTCTTTATAGCGATTATTTTATGAACAAGTTCTTGTGCCATGCAGATAGATAAAAATATTGACTCTTTCAGCTCTAATCTAATTCAATTCGGTTAATGCAGCAGTTAATAAATTAGAACGTAAGTAGCATATAACTCTCTACCCTTATGAGACAAAAGTCCAAGAATTCTAGCAGAGTCCCAATCACAAGCTACATCTATAGTAGAGTTTCTAGAAACTATCGACATCAAGAAACTGCTTCAAGAAAACAGTGCACCGAAGATATGTATATATCCCAGAATGACACTTGTTATTTTTCTGTCATTCTGACGCATCAAGGGTAATTTGTATCATGTAGTGATTTTTTGAACTTGCCATTCAGTTACAGAAGAATTTTTTGTTTCTATATTCGTACTCACTCAAGTTGCTAACAAAGAATAAACTCAGTCTTATGAAGATCTTAAGCACATTCAAGGAAAACTTTGCATAGAGACTTTGTTAGGTGAAAAGTTCTTTACAAAAGGGTACTATTTATTTTTCAAAAAATCTTTTCGAACTTAGCGTTTTCATAAATGAAAACGAGCGCAATGAAAACCATAGTCTGTCTTTTTTTGTTATCATGTCTCTAACGCTAATCTTTCAATAATAACTCTGCGGAATAAACATCAAAGTGCTGAATTTTTTAGAGTAGCTAGAGTTACTCAAGATATATTTTTTACACGGAAATTAGCTAAAACAAAGTATAGAGTCCAAAAATATATATAGCTTTATTCAAGTGCAACACTTGATTGAAATGGCATAGAAAAAGGTTAGAATGTATGTAATTTATCATGTAATCTAGAACTTCCTTCCTTTTCAAATCAAACAATCCGTATTTTCTAACTCGAACCAAATGCCTTGAAGTAAATCCAATTTTTTTTGCTGAGTATGAATTGTAGTTTTCTTCTCTTATTGAAAGATATATAGAGTAAAAGAGAAATTCTATGTGACTTGAAAAGGAAGAAACTATTACATAGTTCTGATAAAAGTACTGGAACACTCGAAAATAGTCAGCCAATACTTTACGTGTAAGTTGACTTGAACTTCAATCATGTATTTAGTATTCTGATTCATTAAGCTTTCATATTTTATTGAGCAAAGAAACTATATCGTTCTTTGACACAAACAAAATAGCATCAAACCGACAATGTCCAGCAACAAAACATTAATCAGCTATCAAATGGATTCTTCCTTGTAATATTGAATGCTGATTGCACCGTTTGGTTTTTCTATTTATTTTTTAAGAATTCGTCAAACGAAAATAAGATAAAATCTTTAGAATAATTTAAATTGGCTTACCAATCGTGCTGTGATGGCCGAGTGGTTAAGGCGTCTGACTTGAATCACGAAGTGCAAATGACAAGCTATCAGATGGGTTCTCCCGCGTAGGTTCGAATCCTACTCGCAGCGTTCATTTTTTTAACCACGTTAAATGTTTAGTCATATGAAAACGATGAAATTGAATATTAAGAATAATTTAAATTCACTTAGTGACCGCGCTGCGATGGCCGAGTGGTTAAGGCGTCTGACTAGAATCACGAAGTAAAAGTGAATAGTTATCAGATGGGTTCTCCCGCGTAGGTTCGAATCCTACTCGCAGCGTTT